AACGTTACTCGAATAAATTGTGAAATTTATTTCAATCAAAAAAATGTCTGTTTGTGAATGTAGTATTTATTAGATTTAAACGAAATAATGTTTTAAATAAATAAATAACTGAAAAAAAACACACTTACAAACTATTCAAATAATTTTTTATTCGGTGAAAAAAAAACTGTGGAAAAATTATTCCAATAAGAATTTGCCCAACTCTGGCCTATAACCTAACCTAACGGGACACAGCCTGACCCTACACGGCGTACAGTATACTTAGCGATATCATAGGTAGACAAGATGTTTTTCCCATGATCTTGTGCGGTTGCCGATCTCGCTTAGACCGCACAAAGTTTTACGGTCCGTTACACCCACATGTGGAAGTGTTGCGTTCCAGTCGCGTGCCACCGCATAAACTGATACACAAACACACAGCTGCCGGCTGGCTGGCTGGCTGGCTGGCTGGCTGTGTGCAATAAGAGCGACATGTGCCCGCTGTACACAATATACAATAACGACGGTGAATTAATGACTTTCAACACACCGCACAGCGTCGGTGGTATCGCATTACCGGCGGAGAACAAGATACACTAACTAGTATTAGAGCGACCACTACTACTACTGCTGCTGCTGCTGCTGCTGCTACTACTGCATGATATAATTACCGTCTTGAACACGTCTTATAGGTTTTTATAGGGTTGTCCCGCCGCCGTTTGGGGCACGTGGTGAACTTCAAGTGCGTTTTTTTCTTTTTAGTGTGCAAACACCGTGAAGATTATTATTACTATTATATTGTATAACCACCAAAGGGAGACGACGGCGTGCGGTAGCCGTGTGCATTGGGATGTGTATAATGTTATAATGATAGAAAAATATTGTTATTTTATTTTTATTGTCGTCAGCTGGCCAACGGCGAAACCGACACACGATACTGTCCACACGACAATGACACAATGATTGACACGCGCGGTATTGAATTGTGTACGTAGGGTGATTCGTTAAGGATAACGTTTTAGTTTGTCCTTTTTTTTTAACAATGTTTTAAAATTATTATTATTTATTTGGATACCTACTTTCTTTACGAAATTATAATGGGCCCCGCCGGAACAAGCTCGCGTGGGAGCCCAACAAGTCTTATGTATTACAATCGCGAAAAAATCTAATAAACTAGAACACATTACTTAAAATTATTAGTGTTACACAAATCTTGAGTAAGCGTGTAATTCGTTAGGGAGGCTATTTAAAATATTCACCTCTCTTCGTATTTTCTAGAACTCTATCAACTTTTGTAACTTAAATGCTAACGAATATATATCTAGTTAATTTTTTTAAATTAAGAATGATTTTCTCAACATTTTGACTGGTCGACTGCCAGTTTTGAATAGTAACTTTTAAAGTTTTAAATTTAGGACGAGAGCAAGTAGTATTATTTTTATCTGCACGCGTTACTCAACCGCACTCAAACTGCCGTCCTAAATTCTAAACTTTAATAACTTTAAAAGTATCTACCCAAAACCGGTATCGACCAGACAAAAGTGCAGGCAAATTGATTTTGGTTTAAAATGTTAATTAAATATAATATGCGTTACCGTTTTAAAAGTTGACAGAGTTTTGGGGAAAAAAAGAAAGGATAAAAATTTGAATATTGTCTAATATTGTAAAATAAAATAAACGTATAGGTGTCTCGAAAAATAAAAAGTACAAATATTTGAAAAGACAATTAATCTTGTCTTATCCTCAATGAATCACCCTGTGTATGGTATATATAGGTATTTACAAGTGAAGCCATCGACATACCTTTAAAATGATGTGCCATGGAAAAAAAACAAGTGACAAATCGTTAATCTCATTTACCGCCGCCTTTCGACGTTTTCATTCAAAAAAACCCAAAAAATGCATTTCACCCTTAACACAAAGCCAACGTCCAGATGTCTAATTTATAAACAGTCCTTGAATAATAATAATTACCAACCCTTGTCACGATTCGACGTTGTCCGACCTATATCAATTCAAATACACGGTATTGTTAACAAAACAACTATATATGTAACAAAATAAAAACCGCTTCTCTAAGTGTATTATGGAAAAGACGAAGGTCAAAAAACAAACCCAAAGGAATACCGTTTTTTTTATGTTTCGAATCATACGACAAATTACAGCCTATAACTGTACATCATATATATATGTATATACATATATTATACATAAGTATTATATCATATGACTATTATACATAATATAATAATATGTAGGATACCGTTGTCAGCGTTATTCAGCGCCACGTCGCCGTCCTGTCGCCATATTTTCTTTTCCTACAATAATCATTTATATGGTATTGAAAATATTGCCACCACCGACTGTTGCCGGCTGAGTTTCCAATCGAATAAACCGTTATTCGAATATTTTCCCACAATTTATTCGAATAAAAATCATTACTGAAACGCCTAATTATTTGGAAAATTATTCGAATAATTTTTAAATATTCTACTTGAACAGTATTTTAAGTGCTTTTTTTAAGGTAATTATACAATTTAAAACATTAATTCGCCTAAATAAAATGTTTACTACAAATTTGACAAAACATATAAAACCAGAATAATGCGTTATCTATATGATTATTTAGCCATCGTTTAGGCTCGAATGGTGCTCGTTGTACAAACAGATTGGCCACGACCATTAGATATAGGCATAGTAATAGTATTATTTAATTGTACCGCCAAATTTTATGACCTAACGAATAATATTTGGTATTCGCAGGACAAAAATAAATTAACATAATAATACCGGTACCCTGCGGGTGGGGGTTAGAATACACCTGCGGTAGTCCATGCCAGTCGTAAAAGGCGACCAAAATGGACCAAACAATGGGCAGCAGCGTTGTTTGTATCAAGTATAGATTTATCTATACTTGAATAGCACCTCATAGAAATAAGAGGTGCTACTGCGATGCAGAAGGCAAGGGGAAACCACTGCATTACCATTCCCAACACACAACCATGATACGCTCTTCTACTCTAGCAAGTTATGAAGAAATGAAATGACTAGCAGATAAAAGAGAAGATTGGTTGAAGCGACAAGGCGAAGCCTTTAGACAATAAAATTAAAAAAATAAATTAAGTAGACACGTTGCCCCGTTTATGCGTTTTATAAGTTGATAGAGCTCTAGTAAATACTAAAAAAATATGAAAATTTGAATGTTGTCTAATATTGTACAGCAGCGTAAGTAAAAAATGTTTCCAAAAAGAAACGCTACACAAAATTGCAATAATTATTCGAAGAGTAAACTAGTGTAGGCGGCGTTAAGAGAATCACTCGGTATAACCGTATTCTAGACGGTCGTTGTACGGCTCTCTCTAGACGCCATCTCGGATTATTTTTGAAGAAATAAAAAAAAAACAGTCTAACTCGAATAATAAGACATAATATAATATAATATGTAATATGATAGACGACAGTAGCAGCAGCCGTCGTTTGCGGGTGGTCGCGAAAATTATTAAAAATCATACATATTATATAATTTTCCATCGCGCTAAAATTATCGGTACGGACCCGAGAGGTTAACCACCGTATACCTACAGGGTGATCGTTTCATCGTTAACCACTCAATATCGCAACGGGATTAATAAGAAATTACATTTTTTTTTTTCATAGTTTGATCTCAATTTTTTACAATTTTTCACAATTTTACCCCACTCCAAAACTGATTATTTTTACATCAACTTTTGAAACTTAAACGGCAACGTGTATATTTTATTTACTTTTTAAATTAAGAATATTTTACTAAAAAATGTCGACTGGTTGATAACCGGTTTTGAACAATTATTTATAAAAATGTATAAGAGTTTAAAAGTTACTGGACACTGGAGAAGTGCGCGCAGATAAAAATAATCTTCCACTCCACCTTTCCTCCTGCCCTAAACTTGTGACTTCAATAACTTCAAAAATAGTTATCCGAAACTGGTTATCATCGACCAATCAACATTTTTAGTGAATTATTGTCGATTTAAAAAATAACTAGTTTGTGGGGAGATAGGAACAAGATTTTAAATTATTATTTAAACCCAATATAAGATAATATTGAGTGGTCCGCGACAAAATGATCACCTTGTATACTAGACAGACGGATGGTAATAAAAGAAGAAAAAAAATGTTTAAAAAAATATAGCGCACTGCTCTATCGAATAATATGGTTATTTTATACATATATATTTTTTTTTGTGTTCATAATCGTCTGGGTGTTTTAACGCGTGCCCGTGACACAGAGAATTCGCATTGACGGTCAGCGGACGGCAGACAACTAGGCGGCTGAACAGTAATATCATACCCGACACATGCCTCGAGTGTATAATATAGTAATAATATATACATATACTACTATCATAACCACCAGACGAATATTGTGTTTGTTTTATCAAGTAACGAAAAAAAATAATAAATTAAAAAAGCTGACAAACGCACTAATAATATATTATGTATAGATGTTAAAAATTATTTTTTTAACCCATGTGTTTGTGTGTGGTTTTTTTTTTTCATAATGTTATTTCTAAAATATAATATACGACGTATGACGCAAATATATTATATTTAATTCCAAAAAATACCGTGTGTGTAACTTAGATATTTAAACGTTAAGCCCGCGTCAACAGCAAAGTCAATTATCGATTAGGTGCAGTTTAGCACCGGCTGTGAAACTGGTCACTTACATATTATAAGTAAGGTCGTTTTCCACTACATGAAACATTAAATCCGATACAACCGTTGTGTATTTTACTCCGTTTGCTTAATAGGTGTAATTATTATCGAACGTCTTTGTCGAAACCTAATAAGTGATAAGGACTAAGGCGTGGTGTTCGGGCCTTTGATAATTTCAGTTGGGGGGGAGGCGTTTTTTTTAATCAATACCACAGGGGACGCTTTTTCGATTATTATTGCTCAAGACAATCCGATAAATCTCTCATATAAATCTCTACTAACTGCTCCGGGCATTGAAATAAAATAACAAAACGGCGGCTTACCTTCTGGGGAAATGGTAGTGGTGGTAGTGGTCGTAGTGGTAGCCGAGCTTGGGTTCTTAGCCTGCGTTGCCGGTACGACCGTTTCGGCGACGGCGGCCAACAACGTTATCGCCAACACAGCCACCACCGTAGGCCGCTGCGCCTGACGGGTATATGGCATAATATCTCGGCGGCGGTCGCAAAATGTTGTTGCTGTCACTAGATTAACTGCTATCGATCAATCATTGATCGAGCGTATCCGCCGACAGATCTTTTGCGCGCTCGTTACGATCTGCAAACAAATTTAAAAAAAAAATAAATAAATAAATTATTCCCATCGATAAAAACGTAATTTTTGTGTCTATTTTTTACGCACGGGAACATCTAACACAATCCTCTATGCGGGTTTAATGATTAAACAAATTCGTGTAATTCCATAAGTAAACCTAAACAAGCACGATAATGTAATTAGGCTTTGTTATAATTAAATCTAGAAAACTAGTAAGGAAATAATAATAAGAGTAAAGAAAATGAGTAAAAAAAATAGTAAAATGAGTAAACAAAACTAGTAAAATGCGTAAACGAGTATATAAATTAAGTAAACGAGTAAATAGATTAAGTAAACGAGTATATAAATTAAGTAAACGAGTAAATAGATCAAGCAAACGAGTAAAAAAAAATCTAGTAAATTTAGTAATCGAGTTAACGCGTAAACTAATGAGCGAGTATAAATAAAATGAGTGATAATAAATGAGTATTTAGCGTGACACAAAAAAAAATGTCTCACCAATAATCTAACGGATTTCCTTGGTTAAATTATACTTAATATATTTAGTAAAAAAAAAGACCATCTTCAAAAGCAATTGTACAAAGTCAAAGTATAGCATATTAAATCAATCGTCTGTTATAATTAAAAGCAAATAACGACTGGTCGATAACCAGTTTTGAGTTATCAGCGTTAAGAGTTAAGCCGAGGAGGGCAGTGCGGGTAAACGACATTATACAATCCACCTCGTCGTTACATCATAATCTGTTTTGCATAATATATAAATTAATTTTAAAACATATATATATACAGTTTGCCAATTCGCCTATTAAAAGTCACCCTTTAATACGAGAAAATTATATTTTCAACTCTAATACTGAAACATACGGCTAATCGTTTCTTATCGTCGAATGTAATATAATAAGTATTTTATTAGAAACTTTTTTAGCTTACATGATTATTTCATTGGAAAAAAAAAACCGTGACTGTGCCGCCAAATTTGGATGACTGTGTATGTATATTTATATGTATTTGTTATAATTACTGATAAAACCGTTGGTATCCGGTGTTTAGTGAAATGCTGACATTTCCTATCCTTGTGTGATCCTTCCGTGCCGACTTAGTACTACACCCACCCTTTGGGATGCCGCCCAACAAACGACCTCTTGTCCCGTGTAGAACATGAACAATGAAAAAATTTGTTAAATAAAAAAAAAACCCCCAATACGAATCGTGCTTAAACCAGAGATTTCAACAAAAAAAAAACCGTCCAGCCAAATGGGGTGGGTTTCACCTTGGGATTTTCGCCGAAATCCTATATAGCAGTAATAATTACATAATAATACAGGTATGTAGAGCTGTACACGAAATACACTTTATTAAGTGCGAAATTGAGCAATATTAATAATAATGGTATTATTAGTATTATTATTGACGGGGTGTTAACGCGATACAGTCGCACAGTGTGGGAAGTAAAAATTGTCAAATAACGTTGGAAAAAAAAATTGATTATTATAACAGGTCAAGCTAGATATAGCTGGTGTACCCTATAATAACAGTAATGGTGCTTTTTTTTTTTTTTTTTAGTTTTTTTATCGCTCCGATCGCGCCATAATGCACATGTTATAATATTATTATCCGTCCACGTCGAGTTATGTAATAATACATTCATAATCATTTTTTTATTATCGTTACAACCAAGGCGGATACAAGCTCCCCACCCCCGGGTGGGTCTAGCTTTCAAGCTCAGACCAAAAATCATTTGGCCCTACTATAACCCTTGACTAATACTTACCCATCCCTTCTGCTCGTAAACCTAACCTAACCTTCCAAACAAGTCAGTCTTGATAGTAAAAATACTGTCGTGTAAACTTCTCTTCTGAAACCATTATGGTCGTGATAGTATGTGGCGTTCAAACTTAAAATCCAAACATTCCAAGTTGTCAGCGTCAAACGAGCTCCAAATCTTCATTCCGTGTCTCAAATAATACATTCCATAACGACCTCTCTAGTCCAACAGTCCGAAATGTCACCAAAACTTTCTCAAATATCTCAAATATATATATATATGACAACTAGATGGCCTACCCGAGTTGTAACATGGAAAATATTGACCCTGGGTGCAGGATTGACCAACTGAAAATTTGAATTAGGCTTTATTGCTATAATTTTTATCTACAAAATGTAACGAGCGCCTCTGCAATAAATTTATGCCGGTATTGAATTTCTTCGTTTTTAGATACCGCATAGTTAGGTTAGGATTTTTTTTTTTTTTTTATTCAAGCATAAGAAATCAAGTACCATTAAAATGATTAAACGAGGAAAACACAACTGCCATTTATTTCATTGAAATGGTAAACTGTCACAAAAACCAAATGTGGCAGTTTGCTTTTTTCGAAAACCTTTTGCCAAAATGGCCATAACCTCAAATGTCTGGTGACCGGTTGTGATTTAGAACTAATTAGCTTAATGTTGAAAATAACAAGCACCGGGTAACACAACAATAATTGCAAAGTATTAAAATATTAATGCTTAATCATTTGGGAGCAGTTTCTATGTTGAAATTGAATTCCCTCAAAACTATGTTTTTCGACTTGTGGCAATCTTGCGACCAAAGGTGAGAATTATCTTAAAATATAAACTTTAACTTGTTCAAGCTTCCCTCTCCACCCCACCCACCTCGACCACCCCTGTTTTATCACTCCTGGATCCGCCTGTGGCCTACGACCCTCCTTTCCGTACAACACCCGACCCGGTGGTAATGTGTTACCTTGTGTTATGTTTTATCAGCAGTGCGACGACGGCTCGAGCTTGGTCTTGCGGTGCTGTCTGCGTTGACTACCTTGTTATCTCCTCCACGGTGGCTATCGATTTGGACACCACGTGCTGCTGCTGCCGCCGCCGCCGTTGTTGTCTCAGCCTCCCGACCTCATTTCGGCGGTTATCCACGCGTATTAGCATAATACACAACTGACACGAGAGAAAGAGAGATAGATAGTGGAGACCAATGAGTGTGCGGGGTGAAGGGGGCAGTTAACGGAGGAAATTGAATTTAAAAAAAAAACCGAAAAATCACTCCGTACCCGCCGCCGCCGCCACCGTCGAACTCCGAAAGCGACGAAATTATAACAGGTACGAAAAAAAAAAAAATTAAAGTATAAAAATCGACCGTACGATATTATTATTTATTTTATGTATTTTTTTTTTTTTATCTTCCACGCGTCCAATAGGGATGGATTAGGGAAAAACGATTAACGATAATATTATATGTGTGTGTGTGTACACCCGGACGACGATCGACGAGTGTATGGCACGCGCGCGGACCCAATTCTGACACTACTACACTGTGTGTGTGTGTGCACTGCGGCTTATAGGTGGCGAGTGTCGAGCAAAGTGTACAGAGCTATGGTATCGCTTACGCGGCACGATTTCGGCTGATGTTGCGGGTGCCGCCGCCGTTTTAATACTACCGTCGTCGTCGTCGTCCGTCGGCCGTTGTACACCGGCGGCGGCAAAGTGTGCCAAAACATAAAAAAAAAAAAATAAAATAAAATAAACGATTACCGTGCGGCGGCGGCGGTGGCGGCAGAGGGAGGATCCCTGCTACATAACCGCGGTCGTATTTTCGGCGAGAGGGGTACGACTGAGGGGGAGGTGCTCGTTACCAGGGCGTTCGGGTAACCGAGGCGGAGTATATCACCCGCCGCCGCCGCCGCCGCTTACGCTATAGCTGCTGCCCTTCTTCGTCGCACCCGCACTCGCGCGCTATACCCGCCGACGAATCGTTACGAAACACATGCGCGTCGGCGGCCGCCACACGACTTTCCATGTTCTAGCGGCGGCGGCGGCGAGTCTGTGGGTATCGGGCCGCCGCAGCCGCAGCCGCCGCCGCCGCCGCATGCGCCTATCGCGCCGCCCGAGTCGAACGGTCAACGCCGGCTCTTCCCGAGGGTCGGGTTAATAATTATCGTTAGCGGCACGGCGGTAATGTCTGGCGAAACGAAACGCTTTTTTGGCGCATCTCTCGGCACCGCAGCCGCCGCCACCGTCTAAATATATACAATTATATGTCATATATACCTACGCTTGTCCGCCCGTAATAATAATTTTATTGTCGGCGGCGGCGGCGACGGCGGCGGCGCGCGTTCTCGCCCTCCAAACTTGTTTGTCTGGTATAAAAATGACAAGCGTGTGTGTGTGTGTGTGTGTGTGTGCGTATGTAATAATATGATCATAGGCCACACACACACTGTGCATATATGCCGCGGTGGCCAAGCCAAACGACATTGGTGGCGGTATTGGACGCGGACGGCGGTTGCCCGCAGTCGCCGGTACGGCCGCCCGGCCGCATAATGGTCGGGCATTTACCAAACCGGCATAATGGTTTCGTTTGTGATCGTTCGGATAATATTGTTATAAGCGTTAAGACACACACACACACACACACACACACACACACGCTAGAGCGCGTGTCTATGGCAACTATAATGTCATAATGTATAATGTATAAGTAATTATCATTTGAGGAGCCTTGAAAAAAATTGAAAAAATCGGCCAATATTCCGGACAGGGTGGTTTTTAGTATAATATATTTCTTATTTTTGTTTATATACATTTTACCATTTAAATTCCAAAAGGGTAAATGTCTATATACTTACTTCTTAGATCAACCTTTGGAAGTCCAACGACAATGTTGGTAGTCCTTATTTTAGTGTTGATAGCGTTTTCTAGATAAACATAAAAAAATTATCTTGATCTTAAACATTCCAATAGAAAAACAAAAAAAACTAATACTAAAAAATTATTAGATTCAAATAGTAAGGAAAAAATCGTTTAATTTCGAATAATAACATATTCGTCTGAATTATAACCTTACATTGTATAAAGAATGATACATTTAACGAAAGCCACACGGTTTTTGCTTGAAAATAATTATTATAATTTGGTGGGTTTTCTTTTTGGAGACACTTTTAGTTTGTTTTTTTACAACATTAAACAATGTTCAGATTTTGATATTTTCTAGGTGAATTTCACAGCTCTAATAAACGTTTGAAATTTAAATAGCAACGTATCGTATATTATTTTTTTAATTAACAATAATTCATTAAACATAGACGAGTGGATGGATAAAGTGTAGTGTTTTGGTTTTATCCAACCGTACTACACATGCTAAAGTTTAAACTTGAATAACTTAAAAAGTTATTATTCAAGTCTGGATATCGACGGGTCGATAATTTCAGCAGATTGTTCTAATATTGAAAAAATGTATTTTAAATAGACATTATCTATTTTAAATTTACTACACTAAATTCCACCTTTAAATGTTGAGTGAACAACTTAACTTCTTCGACTTTTACCCCTTTTGCCCGACTCAAGGTATCGACAGATGTGTGTTGAGGAGAAGTAGGAACCTAACTTAACCTGACCGGACCAATTAGAACAATGGCGAATCAATTGGTTTTCAGATGTATATTTTACCAATAAGTTTATAATTTATGACAGTGAAACGTCTGTTTAAATCATATAATTCGGGTTTTCACAGCGAAAAAAAAAACATTTGTTATTATGTAACTTCACTATGTCGCGTTGATGAGTTTCGAATTTCGTTGTGCTAGAGTAAAATTATTAATATTTTATTAGGTACACGTTTCGATGGTTTTTTTTTTTATACTGAATTGTATAAATTACCCAATATGCTCGCTAAGGGCAAATGGGTTTCTGAGTATACAATGTACAGCACCAAACGATATAGCCCATTTTGATTACATAATTCGGTGATATTGGACGAAATCCATAAATAAAAAGACTCCATTAGAGTTTTCATTGTTTTCTGAGCTTAATAAAAAATAATAATAATAATAATAAAAAGATAGATACACGAGTATACACACAGAGTTGTACATATAATTCTTATTCGAATAAATTTTATTCAGATAATGTGTTACCCATATGATTATTTTTTAAATATGCTCAACTCTGTGTATAAGTCCAATTTTCTAGCGCAAACACTTTGATTGGGCAGTATATGTTTTACTAACGCCTATTTCGAACACTTCTCGACTATGATTATTATACCTTTCTTAGGTAGATTTCTTGGACGACAACTTTATGAAACATTCTTACAATACAAAATAGTTGTTTGAAAAACATTTATAGCTATTTTCTACCCGAGAAACTAAGTTCGACTTTAATTTAGACTAATATTTCATATTTTATCGACCGATTGATTTGTAAATGCACATTTAAAAAAATACTACTTGCTAACTTGTATGTATGAACCTACACAATAGCTTAGCTATAACTTGGGATTTTTTTTTTTTTTTGAAAAATTACCCATATACCGAAATTTTCTAGTATTAAACGGATGATGATGTAACGTTAACTTGTAACTAATAATTTAAAAAATACCCTCGTTTTCTGTGGGATTTTTTTCTTCGTTAGGTACCGTCTTAGCCCTTTCTAAGCTATTTGGGGTCGGCCAATCATCGTCCAAACATAAAATTATTGATCACAGACTCGTGGGGGAGTGTACTACCCCCTCACCCCTCTCCACCACCACTCGCCCAATCACATTATCCCAACAAAAGCCGCTGTACCGCTTTGTTCGTGTGGCCACGTTGTACGGTGATAACCTAAAAAAAATTATCAAAACTCCTTTCTCCTTACAGAGACAGTGGTCTGAGAGGTGGGTTTGCCACTCAATGTCTGAATTCTGAAATGTTATCCTAGTGTGGCCCTGTTACGTGTAGGTATAACTGTTTTCCAAAATCTCTAACCGAGCGTTTATTGCGTTCAGGAAACACCGTAAAAAGCTAATAAAAAACCATTCCAAAGAGATTGTAAAATTACATATATTTTTTTTCTACTGTGCTTTTTCAAATGTTATTCTGTCTCTCAAAGTTGATGTTTCAATTATTAAACAGCTGTTGCAACTTTGTAGCCACAACACATTTTTAAGGGTGATTATTATCTAGAGATTTTTTTCTGAAAAAAACAAACTTCTACTCAACGCGCAGACAGTGGACGGTCTTTGTGCCTACAATAAGTCTATAATTTATAATAAATCTATGTTTGGGAGCCAAAAGCTGACATGTGCAAAGAGTATACTTTTCTGGAGAGTACCTAATTTAAAAATTTTAGAAAACTATACAAAACAACACTTTTATTTTCATAGTTCATGCAAATACAAAATATACAAACATGATAATATTGGCATCACATGTTTCTTCCTTGAAACATATCGTTTTGATACATTTTAGAATATCTCTTATGATATTAATGCTACAGATACCATATTTCGACACAAGTAAACTATACACACTTTAACTACACATGCAAACCCTCAAAATTCAATTTTTTTTTTTACTCGTATCAGCTATTGGCTCTCGATCAGAAAAATAATAATTGACATAATAACATGATTGTTGTAATAATATTGAACTAACTTCACAGTTATACATTGTCCAGTATATAGTATTTTTTTTTTACTGTACCAATCTGGTGTGTGCGTTGCTGGCGTGATGTATGATTTATATTGTGCACATGTAGGTGGTACACAGTATACATATTATAATACAATATGTGTATATTTTCTTAGAAAATAATTATTATCTTAGTTGTGTGGCACGAGCCACATACGCTTCTATGCTGATGTACAGAAACTAAACATAATATACATATATCTATGTATAGTGTTTTTTATGAATGCGTTCTTAAACATAATTTCTGAACGCCCACACGATTCCATATTGTCTTGTACACATTTTTTATAAATAATATAATAATAATTTATATCATCATCACCGCCACCATTTGGACGGTTACAGCGCATAATAATAATAATATTGTCGTTGCAAGAGTGTCATTTGCGTTTTAAAAAAAAAAAAAAAAAAATGTTATTCCAAATTCTATCACTATGCTCGTGTTTTATTTTCAATATAATACATTTAATAACGCTTTCATTACCGGTACTATTATATTATTAGATATATATATCTATATAGTATATATACTATGTAGTATATTGTATCTACCTGTATAATATTTCCCTTTGTGTAGTCACGTGTGTGTTTGTATGTGTATGTGTACATTAGCAACCGATCGACCCTTTTTATGGGTAGGTACATTATATGAAAATGAAAAAAAAACAGTTTGTTTAATGTCACCTGCTGTTGCTGCATGGCGTGTAGGTATAAATGTCTCTCGATTCGGATGAGCGATCGTGGAGGTGGCTATTAACTTGGAATAATCGGTGGAAGCTTTATAATGTCCCCAAAGATACACACACAAAAAAAAAGGGGGGGGAAAGGGTTGGAATCAGATGTTGGTAAACCAAAAAAAAATAGTATACATATATATATAATATATACAGACTGATTCACTAAACTATGAACCAGTCGACAAATCTTAAAAGACTATAGGAATATTTTTAATTAATACTGTTCATACTTTCACAGACCACAGCTGTTGTAAGTTGGACTAAATTTTATT